CCTTTAACATCTCAGCCTTTAAATCCTCATTTCAAACCCAACAGAACCACCTGAGCTCTTTGTGCCCCGTCAGAACCGGACCAGGAGCCGGCAGCAGCCACATCCCTGCGTGTGAGAATCAGAGCTGATTTAAATACCTCTCATGTCAGCGCCTCATTAGATCCCATCCCCACGCTGCCTCCCAGGTCTCAGGCACAAAGGCGTCTTTGTTTTAACATCTTTTTTTTTTTCTTCTTCAAAATATGAACACGAGCGAGTGCATCTGGAGGTACAGATGTGGAGAACTCGCCTCTCAGAGAGGATTCATCCACACAGACGTGATATTTTAGTGGACTTCCATAAAACATCACTTTTAAAGATTCCCCGTGCGCTACAGAATCATGCACGGAAAATAAAAGTCTGCTTCTTATATACACCGCCTTCCACCTTTGTTTGTGAACATTTTAAATTAGGGTCTGATGCATGTGAGAGGCAGATGGGACTCCTTCCTCTGGTCCCCCAGCATCAGTCTTATCTTACCGTCCTCCTAACAGATGGAGCCGCAGGAAAATACCGGGTTGCTCCTATAATCTGCTGCACGACACACAAACTCATCTATGCCCTCCATCCTAATCTGTTTTGATGGAATACAACGGCTTAAAGCATTTTTATTGTTGTCAACAAAGAGCTTTAGAAAACTGGCTCATCGTAGGACATTTAACCTTTTTGTGTAAGGAATATTGTCTTAGAAACTATTTAAAGCTACTCTTGAAAACCGGTAAACAAAATTAAGTAAGAAACAAAATATGTGCAGTTTTTTTCTCATATTGATGTTTTTTGTGTCCTTAAAATAAAAATGTGTAAGCTAAATCTGTGAAGAGTTGCCAACTATCGCGTGCTTTAAACCCATGTGTTTGTTTACATGTGGAAACAAAGTGACTAAAGTAGGTTGTTTCTCTGGAAAATATAAATGCTGTATAAAATTGAACAGATAAGCTCAGCCTAATGTGGGTCAACCACATGACTCGAGCTTCCACATGCGAGTTCAGAGGATTCAGACTTTGTTTACGCTGAGTGCGTACCTGCGTTTCAGAATTTTATATCAATATATGTTTAAAAATACTCTTTTAAACTGTTTGATGTAGTTCAAGATAACAATTTTAGGTTTGAGTTTATAATTTACAAAGAGCACCTTTAAACTTCTGCTTAAAGTGCAAAAAAAGTGATTCTGATGACTAGTGACAATAATTTATACTGCGACAGCCGACATAAACAAGAGAAAAAGCATTCCCTGTGAATGCTAAACAACTGACGGAATTTGATGAAAAAGAACTAAAGCTAAAAACAAAACATTACCTAAAAGTAAAAAGCTAAATGCTAGCTAAAAGTATCAAAATATTACCTAAAACAAGCAAAACAATTGCAAAGTATCAAACGCCTGGAAAGGTTAGCTAAATGCTAAACATAACAAACGCTAGCCAAAAGCTAAATGTAGAAAAATTCTAGCTTAAATTAGCAAACGTGTAGCTAAAATCTTTAAAAAAAGAAAAGCAAAAGACAAGCATCTAAAGTACCAAAATAGCAGCTTAAAGTAGTAAGAAGACTACACAGTTAAAGTAGAAAAATACTTGCTATAAGCTAATAAAAAGTAAAATACTTGTTAAAAGCTAAAAGTAACACTGACAAAAAGCTACACATAGCAAAAGGTTCACTAAAAGTGGCAAAAAGCTTGCTAAAATGTAAATGTAGTAAAAGGCTAGCTATTAGCTTAAAGTAGAAAAAGGCCGTCTGAAAGCTAAACATAGCAAAAGGCTAGCTAAAACCTAAACATGGCATAACAGTGGCTAAAAGCTAAATGTAGCATAAAGGTAAGCTAAAAGCTAAAGGTAGCAGAATATTGACTAAAATCTTAAAAATTGCAAAAGGCCAGATAAAATTTAAAACACCAAAATGTTAGCTAAAACCTTAAAAGTAGTAAGAAGACAAGTTAAAGTAGAGAATGTTTAGCTATAAGCTTAAAGAAGCAAAAGGCTGTCTGAAAGCTTAAGATAGCAAAAGGCTAGAGCTAAAACCTAAAAATGGCAGAACAGTACATAAAACCTAAATGTACCATAAAGACTAGCTGAAAGCTAAAAGTAGGAAAATATTAGCTAAAATATAAAAATAGCAAAAGGCTAGTTAAAGGTTAAAATTAGATTCATTCTAGCTAAAAGCAAAAGTAGCAGGACATTAGCTAAAATCTAAAAACGGCAAAAGGTCAAGTAAATGTTAAATGTAGCATCATGTAGCTAAAAGCTAAAACTCACAGAGCATTACCTAAAATATAAAAATAGCAAACGGCTAGTTAAAGGTTAAAATTAAATGCATCTAGCTAAAAGCTAAAGTAGCAGGACTTTAGCTAAAATCTAAAAACAGCAAAAGGTTAAGTAAATGTCAAATGTAGCATCATGTAGCTAAAAGCTAAAACTAGCAGAACATTATCTAAAATCCAAAAATGGCAAAAGGCTAGTTAAAGGTTAAATGTAACAGCATGTAGCTACCAGCTACAAGTGGCAGAATATTAGCTAAAATCTAAAAACAACAAAAGGCTAATTAAAGGTTAAAACATAGCAGCATGTAGCTAAAAGCTAAAACTAGCAG